CTCTGAAGTTAAAAAATATAGTGTACATTTAAATACAGAAGCTAAAAAGTTAAATAACTTGCATAACCTAACACAGCAGAAATGATTTAGGTCTTTAACTAGAGCCTACATCTTACTTACTTATTTTGTTATTTGATACTTAGCTTTTCCACCATGCTGCCAAATAAGACAGGTAAAGAGAAGAGAAAGTTGGGTTTGAGCCAGCAAAGAAGAAGTTGAGAAAAATAAAAGGAAAATAAAGGGAAAATGTTTTACCTAAGGAACTCCTCCAAAACACATAATATTCTATTAAAATCTTATTTATCTTTATCAAAATATACTCTGTGATCAAATGTATATATTTTCTAGAGTTTAGACACCTACAGAAACAGTTTCAATACACGGACTTAAGAAATAGAGATTAACAGTATGTTTTTTAATGCAAGCTTGTAACTTTTTAATATTCAAATATTGTCTGTTTTAATTATAACATAATCAAATTTCTACCTAAAATATAGAGAAGCTTAAATAGTCTTATTATTCTATCTTTTCTCCACTTTAACAGTGCAAATCTGTAGTTTTTGCTTTAGAAAGTGAGTCATGTATAGCCCTAGCCGGTTTGGCTCAGTGAATAGAGTTTACGCCCACGGACTGAAGGGTACCGGGGTCGATTCTGGTCAAGGGCACGTACCTCGGTTGCAGGCTCTATCACGTGTACAGGAGGCAACCAATTGATGTGACTCTCTCACAGTGATGTTTCTCTCTCTGTGCCTTTCTCTGCCCCTTCCAGTCTCTCTAAAAACCAAAGGAAAAATATCCTCGGGTGAGGATTACCAAAAAAAGAAAGTGAGTCAGACCATTGTGGACACTCATAAATCAAAGAGTAACTACTTCAGGACTATGAAAACGAGTCCTTGGTCCTAAAAGGGTCTTCTACACAGTGGTCTTAGGCTCCTAATTGTTAATTGTCCTGAAGGGAAGATATAAGCACATAGCATCATTTCAATATCAGGCTCCCGAGGAAACGGGGGAAAGAAGAGCTATACCCAATCTAAACATGGTCTCTGGAGTCTGTGCAT